CCTCCCCCTCCCTTTCAAAATCAACACTCCCTAGGATTCTGAAAAGAACCCTCCCCCCTAAAGGACTATATAAGTATAAATATATATAAATCTACCTATATACATATACTCCTATAAGCTTAACAAAGAACGATTTACAAAATATAAAGTGTTTTAAACACAGGTTAAAATAAATGAAAATGCGCACCATATAGATATTTTGACGCATACAGAGCTGGGTAAAGGGAAAAAAAATTCCAGGTGTTACAGAGCGTCCCCTGATATTTGAACAACTCTCGCTAGAAGTGGCTTATAAACACAAGATCCCTGTCGGACACAATCGATTTAGGAACCCCGTGCAACCTCACAATTCCACGGATAAACTCTACTGCCACCGAGGCTGCTGTGTACGGGTGCTTTAACGGAATAAAATGGGCTGATTTACTAAGCCTGTCCACCACTACCATTATTACACTGTCGTCTCAGCACGGAACTGTTCGACGGCAGCCTTCTGTTGGTTCAACTCAGCTTCAAGATCCTGAATCTTGGTCATGGTAGCGTGGATAAAGCCACAGGCGCAAGATTGATGCTCTGATACCAATTTGATATGAATCAATTGGCATAAATTAAGATTAGCGGCCAAAAGTACCACTAATCGGATGCTTATTAGAATAAACCCTGAATTTCGAGACCCAGTAATCTCCAATGTCTACGACAAGAATCAAAATACTAGAATGAATCAAAACAATGGGGTGGCCGGTCCCTTAAATAAGCCGTACCCTAATCCTCAAAAATAGGAAACATACTTATCCTAAGTAACTAATTAATAACTTTCCTAATCAATTAATTAAGAATAAGGAAATTGCAAACAACCCCCTCTACTTGTTTCCTGACTCTCTTTTGCGACGCTGATATATCCGACCCCAGTGTGGGTCGGGCTGAGACGTATCAGTTTAGGAAACAGCTGAAACTGAAATTTGCTACAATTTGCTTCCCTTGTAAATTTAACTAACCACATTTGCATTTATAGTAGATTAAGTGAACTCATAATGTCTATTAAGGGCCATCATATAGTCGGTTCCAGTGATGTCATATTTTACCAACGCTACAAAAACAGAAATTGGAGCACCATTTCAGTAGCCCATGGAGTGAGAAACAGATTTAGTGGTTTTGTCTTGAAGCTTGTTGAAAATATTATTACAGAAAATAATATGTATGTATGCAACAACCGGATACACAAGTGACCATCTTCTTCTTCAAGGTGGTGTATACATTTAATGTGCCTGCCTCCTGTCAACTTTGGTGCCATGAAAGGAGATTTAAGGATTTTGTCTTAAAGAAGTATTTTTGATAAAGTATGTGAACTAGGAAACGAGTCCTATCTATTCTGTAGGAGATACATGATATATCTTAACAACTATGGAGATAGTAGAATCTCAGAAACATGGCACAATTTCGATCAGATATGGGCAATAACAAGGTCTTTAATTTTCTATAAGCACATAGCAATCTTGATCTCTTCTATGCCAAAAGGTACATAAAGAAGATTGCCATTTATTACTTGCAAATGTGCATATGTTACAATTAAAGGGGAAAAGGTAGTTTGAGGACTCACGTTCTTCATTAATTTCCACCAAAGTAATTTAAAAAATATGAACATTGGTGAAGAAATGTGTTACCTGTTAGTAGAGAGGCCGGCATTCTTATGTAAAGATCTTGACTCTCTTCACAGACCTTAAGATCCATCAATTCACCAAACCAGAGTAAGCATCCACTCCCCCCTCCTCTGATATCTAAATTTGCATAAGCCGTGCAAGAGCAATTTTTTCTGCAGGCTTTCTCGCACTCACCGAGGTTCATGCTCAGATTGTACCATGAATGCCGTGTGTCAGGAAATTTCATCCCTCTAATTTTCCAAAAGACTTCTCCAACCCTACAATCTAAAGGACTTTTGAGTTGGCACCCACTCGACCAATCTGCCGTGTTCCATTCATCAGGGCGTTTTTGTTCAAAACCATCCATACAAGTACAAGGAGGAGTCTTGTTGATGTTACAGATTCCATAAGGACCACAGAGTCCATAGCCATTACATATATCCTGTAGAAAATTTGAAAAAGCAAACCAATCTTGACTTCGATTTCTCCAACGCATTATTGCTATGCTGCCATCCCACTTCAAATGTAGCATCTGAACAGCTGAACTTTTAAGCTCGGATATATAATATACTTCCTTCTGGTTAACAACAAAGTCAACTGAGTAAATTGGATTTGGCATCTCATCAGGCAGACCACTAAACCTAATGCCATTCCATGGTCCAACCCTGCTTTTGACTGAACCTTGCCCGAGGATGAACCCTTGTGGATATCCATTTGTATCTACATAGTTTACATACTGACCTAGAGAAGGATCACTGGGACTCTTCCATGATGTTAAGTTCCTGCTTATGCCTGTAACAAAGTCCTTACCAAGTTTCATGCCGGGTAGCAAGGTGTCACCAGGATAATCAAAACTTTGCCAAATCAAATTTGTGTCACCAGTACTGTTTACACCCTTGACAACAAAATTCCCATTATCCAAAAGTTGTGCCACTGGATTAATGTACCTGGCAAATGTGGAAGAAGAAGATGACCAGATTACAGTACCATCACAGCAGGAAAGCAGCAGGAGTCCCTGGCTACTGACTTTGAAGGTGCCTGATGTATTGGATAATGGCAAGTCTCTGTTAGCAACCCATACCACTGTACCCGTTGCAATCTTCTTGTACCATATCCCCAAGTAACGGTTGTTGGATTTAGCAGGGCTAAAGAATCCCAGTTCATACATTTCTCCAGCTGAAACAATGGTCTCACCATCTTTGATGACTTGATTTGCAGCTATGCTGTCTACTGCAACAGAAGGTGAAAAGAACAGCAAGAATAAAGCAATGGAAATTAATAAACTTGTGAAAAGGCCTTCCATGGAGGAGTTGCCCTCTTTGATGATTAGTATTATTTCCTCAAGACAACATTGTTGAGGTTGGAAGGGAAGAGATAGAGGTGAGCATAGGCTTGGACCAAATAATTGTGTCTTCAAAAGCTTAGAAATTATATGTATTGGTATTAAAGAAAAAGTCTTCAACCTCAGAAGAGGATTTTCTAAGCCTATTTGTTTACCTTTTCGAATAAACCGAATTTACATCCCGAGAAAAGCATAGAGAAAAGAGGATTTCCCAAACGTTGACGATTCATTCATTTCTTGGAGGTTGAAGAAAGATGGGCAGAGTTTTTAAGAAGTAAAAAGAAAATAGTTGGTCAAAAGTGGGCTAATTTCGTGAGTGATTTGCCTTCCCCTTTTCTATTTGATAGCTACTTGATAAAGGAAAATACAAGTATTTTGTTGGTTTCTTTTTGTCCACAAAAAACATAAACACAAGCCATAGGAAGGTTTTAGCAAGAAAGAGAAGGATTTGGGTGTTCTTGAACCCAAGAATGCCTGCAGCAAGAAAAGAAAAAGTGTAGTGCAAATTAAATTTAAAACCATCATTTTGACATGTAACCCTCGTCTTGATTTTGTTTAAGATGATGAATTCAATCTCATGTTGTTCAACTAAACTTTTAGTAGTAATTTCTTGACCCCAAATCATGTTGTTCATCATCTAAAACTGATAGATTCAAGTGGGTTATATATGAACAAGTAATAAGAATGGCCAAATTAATCTTAGCAGGAAATTCATGTTGGATTGATAGGTTTTTGTTCTGGAGATTGATCGGAGGACAGCTGTGGAGTTTTAGCCGCAGCAGACCAGACGGCGGCGATATTCATGGCCTTGCAGGCGGGTAGCAAGAAATAGGACGGCGAGCAAGGCCGCCGTGTGTTCTGGAGTCTGGACGGAGTGGGTAGCAAAACCTGGGCCGAAGCCCTTTGCTTTCTCTTCACCCATCATGCAAAGTTGTTAGATTGGGCCAACTCACTTGCGAGTTGCGATTAGAGATGGCCAAATTGGCCCGGTGACCGGGACCGACAAAGAACCGGGACCGGTTATGGGACCGAAAACCGGGACCGGTTGAGGTTTTTGGTTGTTTCGTGTGACCGGGACCGGTTATGGGACCGACTATGGACCGGCCCGGCCCGGCCCGAAAATTCAAATAATTTTATAAATAAATGTATTTTTAAATAATTTTATAATGTATTTTTATAAGAAAACGTAATTTTAATTATATTAAAACACATTTTTTAAGTGTATTTGAGTGACCCAATTGTAAATTTTATAATGTATTAAAAATATATATATCATGAAAAAATAATAAAAAAATCTTATTTTTTTAATGCAAGGACCGGTTGGGACCGGGACAGGGACCGGCGGCCCATAACCGGTTATAAAGTACATATACCGGTCCTATCATTTTCAACCGGGACCGGGACCGTTTATGAGAAAGGTGAGGACCGATTGGGACCGGCCCGGGACCGGTTTTTGGCCATCTCTACTTGCGATTAAGGCAACTCTAAAAATAAATATCATCTATATCTATACTATATTATAAAGCATTTGACAAAAACTCTTAAAAACCATTTTTTATGCATAAAGTACTATCTATATATTGATGCATATTATTTAAAATTCAATATTACAAGTAAATTATGCATAAATACAACTTATTAAACTTCATGTTTTAATTCGTGTAACTAACTGCGGATAAACAAAATCAAATAGAAGATAAACATCTCATTTTAAAACATAAAAATCTAATATATAATAAGGATAACTATGGAGTTCTAACAGAATCATTATCTTTATACAGAATTTATTGTTAAGCCAAAAATAAATTACTTTACTATTTGATCTAAATTAAATTATAATAAAAAACCAGAACTTTTAAATAGTTGATTTGATATTAATATCGATATCTATACTATCTTATAAAGCATTTGGTTAAAACTCTTAAAAAATCTTAAAACTCTTAAACTCGTTCATCCCTAAACGATTTCATCCCATATCTGAATTTGTGTAACTAACTGCAGATAAACACAATCAAATACAGGATAAACATCTCATTTTAAATATAAAAAATCTAAAATATAATTACGATAATCATTGAGTTCTAACAGAATACTTAATTATTATTTTTATAAAATGTTATATTATTAAACCAAAATTAAATTATTTCATTATTAAATTTAAATTGAATTATAATAAAAAAATAAATTAAAGAAATTACATAAAAAATAAAAACTTTTAAATAGTTGATTTGACATTAATATTGATATATATATTTTAAAATTTTTATGATATCTTCAAATTTATATTTTATTCAAAAATAAAATCATTATTGTTTTTTTTAAAAACACATAATATATACTATATTATAAAACATTTGACAAAAACTCTTAAAAATAATTTTTTATGCACGAAGTATTGTTTATTGATCCATATTACTTAAAGTTTAAGATTAAAAGTAAATTATGCATAAGTACAACTTATTAAAGCTCCATACTTGAATTCGTTTAACTAACTGCAGAGAAACATAATCAAATATTGGATAAATATCTCATTTTAAATATAAAAAATCTAAAATATAATTATAATAATCATAGATAACTAACAGAATTTAATTAAGAAAACTACACCAAAACACAAGAACTTTTAAAAAGATTAATTTAATACTGATATCGATATTTTTTTTCAAAATTTTATGATATTTTAAATTTATATTTTATTCAAAAATAAAAATATTATCACTTTCTCAAAACCACATAAAACCARTGTTTACTTAAAGTTCAAGATTACAAGTAAATTATGCAAAAGTACAACTTATCAAAGCTCGATTTTTAAATTCGTATAATTAATTGCTGATAAATATAATCAAATAGAGGATAAACATCTTATTTTAAAATATAAAAAATCTAAAATATAATTATGATAATTTTCGAGTTCTAACAAAATAATTAATTATTATCTTTATAAGAAAATTATATTATTAACCAAATATAAATTACTTCGTTATTGAACCTAAATTAAATTATAATTAAAAATTACACAAAAAATGAGGAATTTTAAATAGTTAATTTGATACAAATATCGATATATTTTTGTTATGCATAAAATACTGTATATTGATGCATATTACTWAAAATTCAAGATTACAAGTAATTATGCATAAGTACAACTTATTAAAGCTCRATGTTTGAATTCGTATAAATAATTGCGGATAAACATAATCAAATAGAGAATGAACATCTCATTTTAAAATATAAAAATCTAAAATATAATTAGAATAATTATCGAGTTCCAACAAAATAAATAATTATTATCTTAATAAAAAAATTATATTATTAAACCAAATATAAATTACTTTGTTATTGTACCTAAATTAAATTATAACAAAAAATTGAATTAAAAAATTACACAAAAAATGAGGAATTTTAAATAGTTAATTTGATACAAATATCGATATATTTTTGTTATGCATAAAATACTGTATATTGATGCATATTACTWAAAATTCAAGATTACAAGTAATTATGCATAAGTACAACTTATTAAAGCTCAATGTTTGAATTCGTATAAATAATTGCGGATAAACATAATCAAATAGAGAATGAACATCTCATTTTAAAATATAAAAAATCTAAAATATAATTAGAATAATTATCGAGTTCCAATAAAATAAATAATTATTATCTTAATAAAAAAATTATATTATTAAACCAAATATAAATTACTTCGTTATTGTACATAAATTAAATTATAAAAAAATTGACTTAAAAAAACACAAAAAATGAGGAATTTCAAATAGTTAATTTGATACTAATATCGATATATTTTTGTCAAATTCTTATGATATCTTCAAACATATATTTTATTTAAAAATAAAAACATCATCGCTTTCTTAAAATCACATAAAGTCATATCATAACATCGACTGAGATAAAGAATAAAATGAAATATTAAAATCACGATGTATCTCGTTTCATTGCGCGGGTACGCTTCTAGTATTTAAAAAAAAAATTATGATGTCTTCAAATTTATTTTTATTCAAAAGTAAAAACATTATCTTTCTCAAAACTACATAAACTATATTATATCAATAAAAAACAAAAAATTAAAATCAATATGTATCTCGGAGCATTGTGCGAATACTTTCTAGTAATATTTAAATACATTATGCGGTTTACAATCACTAGATTAGTTACTTGGTAGTGGTAAAACTTTCTATTAACAACTAAAAGCTAAGGTCTATTCTTTTTTGGATTTTATCGTTGAAATTTATTTTTTCTTATTTTCACTCTACTACGTAAACGCTATACTAGATTGAGTTATTGACGTCTTGGGTCGTCCATCTCAAAGCTTTGCCTTAGGGTTAGCCCTACTATGGAACAATTATAGTGATACCTGATTGAACACAAAAATTATGTACCATACTCATTAAGTGAACAAAGAGTTAGGGTAGTTCACCCAACTCTTACTTGGTAAGCGTTTATCAGTAAGATTCAATACATTCATTTTACTTAGTGAGTATGATTTTAATCTATCAAAACAACATTGTATGCAATATTTTTATTCGTAAGTGCTTACCAGGTAAGAAACGTCACTCTCAAATCTCAATTACCGGGTAAGACTCTTGTTCCTTGTCATCGTTCTTACCAGGTAATATTCTTAATCCTTTATCATGTTTATCCGACAAGTTAAAGTGACCCCGTTGTTTTAATCCTAAAACATACAACGGTTGTTTGACTTGTTTATATGAAGACCACAAAGAAATAAAAACGACTTCTTTGTTCATTTCATTACAGAATTGATGGTGATCACCATGAATTTTACAAAAGGCATTGTGGGTGTGTATTACATTTTGTAACGTAATTCATACAAAAGCTAAGGTAAAAGTCCATTAGGGATAATGACATCCCCAATGTTGTTGTGCCATGGGTCAGCCAAGTGGGTTGCCAAATTCTCCAAGGGTCCGGTTCCCGGATAAGCCGATTGTTGCACGCAAAACCCCACGAAAGCCAACAACGCTAGCCGCCCTACAAATCCATAGAAACAAGATCGTTGGTTCAGATACACACAATTATACATAACATAAAGATAATATTATCAAGACTGTAAATTACCATTTTTGATCTCTTTAACCTTGTACTCTTCAAACTTCTTCGGGTCTTTCGAGTAACCCAACGGGTCAAAAGCTCCCCCGGGATACTTCTTCTTCTCGGGGTCTTTTTCCATGCTCCTCTGGTGTTCCACAAAGGCAATCGAGAGGAACTCGATGGCCAAAACTGTGGGTAGGGTACCCCATGGGACAGGATTCCCCAAATAGGTAGCTTGTCCTCCTGGAAGAGCTGCCCATTCTTGTGCTTTTACCCAATTACCTAAACCCAAAGCTTCAGGTACCAAAATCCCTGGCTGCAAATTCGTAAGATGTCAAATGTTGATGTAGTTGATTTGATATTATTGATTCGCATGTTTGGATTTGAAATTACTTACGACGGCCAACATAGCCCATCGACAATGGATTAGTTCAGACTCTTTGAATCTCTCGAGGTTCTCTGGAACCTCACCTAGACGAAGTGGATCAAAACCGAAATCACTGAAACACGCAAGAAGAACCTTATATTAGATCAATTTAGTAAATCATTGAGTTAGTTTGTGATTTTTTTTCATAAACAATGGTTATACGTTTAATCTATGCAACATGATATACATATTCTCGATTTTCTAATAGAATTATATTCTCAAATTTGATGCACTGCTTTGATGGTACTTACCCTGGGGCGGATCCGTCTAGATAGGATGGCCGGGGCTGTCCTGGCATCCAATCGGAGGTCATGGATAACCTAGATCCGTTAGTGGCCACACCGTGAAGTGGCACGGCGGCGGTGAATCTCGACTTGGAAGATGAGAGAACCGAAGGGCGGACGACGGCAGGGATGCGACAGCTCATCAATGTATTGGACGCCATTCCGAGAGGACTATTTGGATTCGGCGGCGGCCGTCTGTGGTGGTAGAGTAAGAGAAAGGATGGTGGTTACTGGTTAGTGTGGTGGTGAATGAAGAAATGGGGTGGAGACACTGGTACAATATGAACTATGAAGGAGATTTTGGGGGAAAAATCCAAATATTGATTTTGTTGGCTAAGGGTCAGAAGGTTCTGGCTCCTTATTGGGCCACGTGGATTGCCAATCTATTAAGACGGTTACGTGGCAGATGCAGGGGTGCATTTGTCATTTCCAATTGTGGTTTGGTTTTTTTGGGAATTCATGTGGTGAAGGACCGAAGGTTGACTGTGATTTCTTTTCCCTTTTTTTGGTGAATAGATTATTTGAAGATAATAAAACCAATAAAACCTTCTACCAATTATTTAACGAGTAATTTACGTTTTTTGTCTATCTCGTTTATTAAAACTATAAGAGTATTCGTGTAATATAGTGAGACATAGTTTAATTTTAATATTTTATTTTATTATTTGTTTTTGTCAATGTTGTAATACGATTTTATATGTTTTAAAAAAAGCAAYAATGATTTTATTTTTGAATGAAATATAAATTTGAAAAAAAAATATATTAATGTTAATATCAAATCAACTATTTAAAAGTTTTCAATTTTTATGTAATTTCTTTAATTTATTTATTTTATTATAATTTAATTTAAGTTTAATAACGAATAATTTATTTTTGGTTTAATAATATAACATTTAATAAAGATAATAATAATTAAGTATTCTGTTAGAACTCAATGATTATCTTAATTATATTTTAGATTTTTTATATTTAAAATGTGATGTTTATCATGTATTTGATTATGTTTATCTGCAGTTAGTTACACGAATTCAGATATAGAGTTTTAATAATTAATTGTTATTTTTCTCTTTATAATTAATCGTTATTTTTCTCTTTATAGTTTATAATTCTTTACTATTTTAATCTCTTATACTTAAAGTTAAAAATTAGATTCACTGATGAAAATAGTAATGAAATGCAAACGGTACATAAAAATGAAAACCGTGAGTTCAAAACCACAAAAACAAAAATCACAACATTTACCAAACCATTGGAATAAAAAACGTAATTTACGCTTATTATTACTATTATATAATTATGGAATAAAAAATTAATATATTATATGCAAATTTACATTTTTGACGATTATTAAAACCACACATTATATTTTATTTTCAATGTTTTGTTTTTATGTGAAGAAACATTTTTTTGATGAATAATTAATATGAATTAAAACTTTAGCAATAAAACAAAATACAATATAAACTTATCATGTGAAGCACGTAAGAAAGTTAGGTTGAAGGCTAATCTGGTCACCCAGATTTTTGACCCGATTGCTGGATCCACTTTTCAAGTCTTCAACCATCTTACAAAATAAGTAAATTGTATAAAATTCTAAATCCAAATTATACCAACTACAACCTTTTAAAATATACACTAAAATTTGGGTTAATTCTTATTATTTTATGAGGAAATAACATTTACTTTTAGCATACGTAAGCTTTACAGACTAGGGGTGTTCAAAAACCCGATCAACCCAACGTGAAATAATTCAACCCGATGTCTAATCGAGTTGTGAAATTATCAAACTGTAGGTATTGGGTTGATATTGAGTTACTATTATTTGAACTCAACCCAACCCGATGAACCCGATATCTTTTTATTTCTTGGATTTAATATGATTATTGAATTTCTATTAATATATGCATTAGACAATTACACTATCATGTATGTTTTTCATATACACATATTTTCAATCTATTCACATCTCATTATAACTCATTCATATATATGTTCAGTAACTGTGAACATATATATGTAAATGAGAAAATTTAACTGAATGTGATATACTTAAGAAATATGGATAAGTTGTATCAAATGGTTGATGATGAAAAAAAATTATTAGTAAAGAAATAACATATTCAAGGTTAGAATAATATTTTAATATACCAAAGTATCAACCCGACCAACTCGTACGGGTTGGGTTAGGGTGGGTTGCACTTTGGTTTGGGTTGGGTTGGGTTGGGTTAAGATTTTTCCAAACCTCAAGCATTGGGTTGGGTTGTTCAAATGTCTTCAACCCGATCAACCCAACCCGTTAGCACCCCTATTACAGACGATTTAAGAACTTCACGACATGTTTAAACATGATTTTTTTCATCAAAGTTACTCATGGATAATTTTATTTAGGGAAGATAAAATCAAATGTATGATCCAGTATTGGTATGCGAAATTGTTCAAAGCCTTATCTGTCTTAAATCAAGATTCAAGATTTTAAAATTGTTCATGAATATCTCAGAACTAGTAACGTTCTACCGAATGCTAAATTAAATTTGAGAATATTAGACTTTGTTCTACCTAACGTTTAGGGAACATGATACCGAAGCATATACGAGAACGACAGTTGGTATAAATCATGCAACTTTATCTATATATTACAATACTTTTAGAGGATACATTTATTTGTTTCATGGTTACATATCATGGGATTGGCTAAAGATCATGTGATAAGCATAAGAAAAGATCTTGACATTTGATCACCTTTAATCTAAAACTCACTTATGAATCACGTTTGATACAGGACTTGATCCGATGCATCTCATCCTAATATGCATATAAGAATGGAGATTATCTTCTTATGTTTCTCACGTTAACTTTCTTTCTCACTGGAACCAACCCTTATGAGATTATGTTGTAGATGGATCTTATCATAAAAAACTAGATGTGTTCAATGTTGGAGTTCTTGTGTTGGAAATCACGAGTCTCCATGAACTCAAACCTTATTATCGTCAATGAAGTTACGATGACATTAGCAGAACCCCGATATAAAGTGTAGTTGTTCATGTTCGGGTCCTTTAGATAAATTTCCTAATCGCAGTTTCAATTGATAAGATGTTTTTGCTCACTCTCAGTCAAACTGAATTCAATCAATCTCACTACGAATCTACGAAAGTCAGGCAGTTGATTGCCTTCGACCTTATCGATTGAATTCCCCACTTTCTAATGCAATAGAATTGAGAACTCAAAGTACATTTCTAATGCAATATGTAAATACGAATAACCATTGGTCTCACGTGAACCCAATCATATATATATATATATATATATATATATATATATATATTCGTTCAAAATACCGCCAATCAACAATGATGGTTTTGGAACTCTTCGACTCAGCTGTTGTCTTTAAATTGGGTTTGTGCATGAAAAGCAATGTTAACTGTTAAATATGTTATAGAAAGATAAATGGAAAAACGCGTACATTCTAACAAACAATAATACTTTAAATCTAAATCTATAGATTTATGAACTGAATATATGTTCTTGTATACCTACGAAGTATGCTAGTAAAAAAATAGAATAATTCATCTAAAACGACTTTACATAAAAAAATGTTGCGGTTATAAAAATTATTATGAAATATGAGGTACGTATTATTAAATGCACATGAATAGGATAACACATGAATTGGAGACTTAAATGTGGATTGAAAACTAAGTTTATCATAAAAAAAAATGAGCTCATATATAGTTATAACATTTTATTCGTTCCAAAACAAATGTTCACGATAAAAAAAAACACACTTTAAAAAATATGTAATTATTGTACTTTTTAATTAATAAAAGAACATGGTTTGGACATAACATTTTTTTACCATGGATTATAAAATTTGGATCTCAATTAGGTTTTAATTTAGCAAGTTAGGTTTGAGATTGGATCTAGTCATAAGAAGAATGTTTGGTATAAATAACTCGCTTTTTGGTCTTCAACCCCCTCAATCACTATGAACGTCCCGATCAATGCAATGAGATGTGTCTATTTATCTATCTCTTGACTCGAAATGGGAGCATGATTAAAAAGGATCTTAGAGTGTCTAGGGTTAGGCCATGAGGGTCTCTTAACACCTTCTTTTTTCTTCTCATCGTAGTTATTTCACAAAAATTTGTCATGGTAAGGAAGAAGGGTTATTTTTCTCTAGTGCTCTACCATTATTTTTTAAAGAGTGTATAAAGTTGGTGGTTCTTGTTGTTTGTTAAAGATTTGGATTTGTTTCGTATAACAAACTATTTATATTCATGGTCTTTAATATTTTAATTCCATAATACTCAGGGTCTCTAAAGCTAACAACGCTACTTAACAACTGTTATAAAGAAATAACAAGTTGTAATAATTGTTTTAATTTTTTTTGCTAGAAGCATTTTTATATATTCAATCATAAATCAAATTTCTTAAAGTATATACTAAATAAATTTATTTTAAAAAACTATTAAATTGATAAAATGATTTTTTCGTTAAAATTTACCAAGTTCAAAAAGTCAAAAAAAAAAAAAAAAAAAAAAAAAACTTTACATTTTTTTTGTTGGGTATTGAAATATACAAACAAAATAGTTATATATATTAAAATTTGTTTAGAGCGAATTATACTTTTTGTTCTATAGTTTATCCAAAGACTGATTAAGGGGCCGTTTACCAAACACTTACCCGGTAAGCACTTATCGGTAAAATTTAACACCATCTTTTACTTAACGTGTAAGATTTTAGTCCACCAAAACGGTATCGTATGCAACATTTTACCTGGTAAACGCTTACCGTGGTAAGAGTCGTCGCCCCCACTTATCGAGTAAGACTTTTGGTCCTTGTCTCGCTCTTACCGGGTAAGATTCTTGGTCCTTACCATATTCATCCGGTAAGAAAATGTGACTTGGTGTTCACTTACCTGAGTAAGTGTTTGGTAAATAACCCTTAATTTTTTTTAATGGTTGTTAATTAGAGGTGTGAACTCTTAAAACCCTGAATATAATGATGAAATCCAAATTTTGAGTAAACAACAATGTAATTCACTCCTTTTTAAAATTTTAAACTAAAAGATTGTTTGTTTACCTCTTAATAGTTTCATTAAGAGGCAGTCTCTGAATCGTTAAAAGGTGAATCTTGTTTGGCAAAAAAAAGTCTGTCTCTTAATGGTTTCAAAAACCTTTGAATGATTTTGTATCATGGATCTCCCTTAACCATTAAGAGTCTTAATTTCATTGTAAGCAATTACCAAACAATTATATTTCATTTTGCACTATATCATAAGAGCCTCTTAATCATTCTAATAACTTAATCATTCAGTAATTACCAAACAGTCCCCAGAAAATAATACCGACGGACCCGAACTTCAGACGGGATGACACGAATCCGCTTAGGATCGGGTCGGATCTTAAAAGCAAGTTTTGGCAGGAACAATTCGTTATATAAATGGTAACCACCGAACTCTATCAACAACAATACAATTCCATACGCCAACGCTTGCATTCTCGATCAGTTAAAGAAAAACCTCTAGATCCTCCATCGTATCGCCATCGACGATCTTTGACCGCCGGCAGTTCAGGCTTTTCTGCGGTACGATCCTGCATCGCCACCATCATCGATCTCTTTCTCGATTATTTTCTTCCCCCTTTTGTTGCTTGTGTTACTTTTTCTGTTCTCTATCTATATCTGTTCGCTTAGTCGGTTGAAAACCGATGTTGTTCCGATGAAATCCACTGTTGATTGTTCAGATTCTTCTCTACCTACAGAGAGTTGGATTCTCTTTAATAGCAAATTAAATCTCGTCCGATTGTGCCTGAATAGAGTTTTATTGGGGTTTTGTGTTGTAATTTTTTCGGATCATACACACACGAGTATACATATATTATTTATGTATTTTATCTTATATGGAGAATACTACATACAATTTCACTCTATGGCTGTTTGAAAATTTGGATCTGTGTGATGGATAAAAAAATTAGTAAGAAAATAGAGGGTTGATCGATCACATTTTTTGCTCTCGTTTTGTCTAGGAGTTCTTTTTTATTTTATTTTGATAGGTCAAGGACTTTAGACTTGGTGACTTTCTTTCTTAGGGTTTGATTTATTATTTTATCAGTTTAAGTGTTACATGGCGCTGGTGGATTATATAATTACTACAACTAGATTGATCACGATGGTCGTTCATTTGCGTGTGGTCGTGGATGATTTTATTTTTTTGACCTTGTAAGCTTCAAGTTAGCATCCGATGGCCATTTAAGTTGGGGAACCGGTGATGTGTTTGATGACTTGGACGCCTGCACTAAATATATATATATATATATATATATATATATATATATTCATCTTTCATATGGCGCAGTAAGCCATGATAAAGCTTATAAGTACGAAGCACTAATAATTGAGTTAGGGTGCTGTGTCCACACTCCACACTGGGTGCAAATTGTGTCTGTGTTGGCTTGAGTGCATCCATATACGCATCAGGTACATACCCATTTTTGCCAAAATATAAACATCAACACGATGCGTCTTGGGTCTAAGTAGATGGGGATGATTTTTTTAAAAGGGCCTGGCTCATTTTTTGCTGTTTCAAGTTCTCGTTACAAGGATTTTAATTCTTCAGGATCAAAAAGGAAAATGAGTCGCTTCAAATATTTGGACATCTTTTCAATATGGTAAAAACATAAACGGTACACCCACCAACTCTACCAATAATTAGAGTTTTGACATGCCATTTTCTACTTCTCTCAATTATACATCCTTGTCTTATCTACTAGTGTCCATTGGACAGTTTTTTTTGTTCAATTTTCTCAACAATCCTGAATTGTGTTGTTTATTTGTTTGTAGGATGATCACCCAGATAGAGTGTGGTAAACATGTACTTTGATGAATTATTTCGGCATGAGTTTAAATATATTTTGGTGATGTTTTTTTGTTAAGTTATTTTGTTTATTTTGGTATGGTTGTGTTTTGTTCTGTATATGTGTGTATATATATATATATATGTATGTGTGTGTGTGTGTGTGTGTGTGAATATGTATGTGTGCCAGTGCCACACCCAGATTTTAGTATATTTTTTAAATGCCAACCCCATGTACCTGCTATCATTTCACATGATATCTGCACACATTCCCTGCTTAGTTTATAGGCGTATACAAGTGGGTTTGCTAATAGAACGTAAACGGAAAAGTTGAACGTAGATAGACGTCATAATTTTGATGCATGGATATGACTACCCTGTTCTCATTTAGATGGGTATGTGTTCTTTTGGGATTCTATAGTGTAGCTTGATTGGATGTTAAATATTGTGAAGTGCATGACAGTCTGATGAAAGTGGATCGATTACGGATGCTTAGTTTCTTGTCATTCCATGTTCTGCAGTTTCCTTTTCGAACATAGAATAAGCTAACTTCACTTTACGCACTTCATCTTCTAACCCACACTCCCCAAGTGTGCAATATTGTTTTTTTGCAGCAAGGGCCCTTACTTTCGATTGTACATGTTACTGTTGGGGCTTCACCCGGCTTTGTTGAAACAGACTATGTAATAACTGAAAGTATAAAAACCTGCTCAGATTATACAGAAGAGGGGTCTATATAAAAAGGTTTCCAAAATGTTTATGGTAACTTATATGAACCCGATTGTTGAAAGTTGGTTGCAGCGCACATCATGTCTCATTGCTCATCCCCATTCTAGACGAAGATTGGATCATGATAGAACATGTCGCTATTTGTTGGAGAGATGATATGCTGTTCTGTGGTCAAAGAGAAGAGCTTTCTATTATTTTATAAAAATTTGGACACCCAATGTATGCTCTAAAGTTTAAGTTTAAAAAGGGAGATGTGGGAACTTGTAATTGCCTCACATATGTAAGATGCGGACTTTAAGTTCCTTGGAAGTTGAGTGGATGATCATTTCCCAGATCGTGGTGGATAGGAGCGTACTCTGTCACAAAGTTTCAGGTCATGTCCAATGATGATTAGTGATAATGACTGTAATTTCAACCACTCATTTTGTAACAGGCCACTAGTTGTCTGTCCCATGGGAAACATGAGAACTTGATACTCAAGTGTGCATGTAATTGTAGCTATTCTGTTGCCTAATCACAATTGCAGCTCCTTATGTTACCTCTATTCTGTCTGACTACAGATTTTGACATTTAGTTTTTATTTTCCAGATGTTTGTTTTATCTGTTTATTTTGTTGATCATAAGGTGTGTGTTAGCACACAAGTGTTTATAACAACACTCTGTATGCTCTATGAGAAAGCACAAGGGGAATGAGTAGAAAGGAAAAATTGAGAGAAAAGATGTTTAGTATCATCCATTCCAAAGTTCACGAGCTTGTAACTGCTGTCAGTATTTATAACTTTAATATGTCTATGGTAACTTATGATTCTTTTTTTATGTTTGAGGATGCTGCTGCTATTATTAAGCTGTGAGCACACACAACTAATATCTCCCTAACCAATGAAAATTGGAACAAGGAATTACAGATTTTCCTCCTGAATAGCTATGGTTATAAACACAAGTGAAATATCAAAATTACCTACTGGATATCTATCCCATACAAAGTAGTTCATCCTATTTGACTTTAAGAACCTTGATATATAAATCACCGATAATTTTAGTTAATTGGTACTTCCTTTCTGCATAGGAGTATGAAAAAATAAGATTTTTGGGTTGGTGTGTACTAGTTCTAAAGTAATAAGCTAGCGTTTTATGATGTAGGATAAGAAAAATCCCAATCTATACACATCCAGTAACCTGGAGTATTTAGCCAACTGTAGGATCTTCATCTAATAGACAGCTATTTGGAATTTCATTTTTCCTTGTTCTCTAAATCACAAATGGCATTACATTGCAGGCACTTTTGACCTATCTGAGCAACAGAAGGTTTTCAATTTTGAGTAGTATGCCCTCATCAAGATTAATATTTTATGAACAGATGCAAATATGTGTGACTACAGAGCATCCTYTTGTGAAATATCTAGAGACCAGGTTCCCCTTCTCTGACATTCCATAGTAAGACTGTAAGCATTGGAATCAAAGTTGCAGCAGTATGACAATATTACCAAAATCTTGTGCTTAAGTTTTTCCCTCTGAGGTGCTATGTCCTAAAAAATAGTTGAATTGATGGTACGTACCTTTTCTTCCTTTTAGGACACACTTCTAAGCAAGGAAATAACAATATGGGTTTCCATTGTAATTTGTATCATCACTCAGAATTGTACAAGGGGTGATGATAATTCTCTTCTATATATATGGTAGGGCCTCCCTCCTTGGCATTTAGTTTTGGCTAAACAACTATGTTGAAGTTATACCCATGGCCTCTCTTTGTTTCAGCAGCTGACCTTTTGTGTTGAAAAGGCAGTTAAACTGTTACAGGGGTAGTTAGATCCTGGAATGCAATCCACGACTTGTGCTCAGTTTCCAGGATCTGTACGATCAATATTGACCCTAGGATGGTGATGTTGGGCTTTCAACGTGGGATGGGAAGGTCTGAGGTATTCTTTTATCACAAGATGTAACAGGTTCAGAGATCATCTGCGACATCCACATTCCAATGGAGAAAGAGTAGCATGCTGTGGTCTATGTCTATAAACATAGAATAGACTAATAGAGCAACAATCTGATGCTATAGAATAATCTAATTATCAAAAGTGGATCACAGGTTCCTGTTCTGAAGACTAGTGAAAGGCCATTATTATTGATTTGTCAGGATGGAATTTCCTTTTCAGATGATTCTGGAAGGAAGAAGATGGAGGCCCAGGGTTGGTTGGTCATTATTGGGCTGTGGCCAAATGGTGCAGTTGCATCTATCAAAATTCAAGGGGTTCCTTTCTGATGGCCCCAATGGCCAAGATATCTGTGTAAGATCAGCAGGTTCTGGAGTGTATTCGCTTGAAGACTATTCTCAAGTCTCTTGAAGATTTGTAAATTTCTGTGACATGGCAACAAATATGTCTAGAGTTCTATGTAATACAACTGATGTTTCCCTTTGTGGTGGAGATGCAGCTACTTATTGTAATCGCAAGTCAAGGGAGGTTTCAAATTTCAAGTATGATGCTCTTCTAATATCAGAGGACCATGTAGTATTTGCAGTCATTCCGTTGAGCTACATATGTTCTGGTTTGGTTATTTGCTGCTTCTATTGGGTAGCGTTTCTTCATTGGTGGTTGTAGGTCCTTGTTTATGCTAACAATATTAAACAATGAATATAGCATATCCAAAGACCAATCACACTTCCAGGAATTTAGGGAAAGTCATGGCTTCATCTCTGTATTCCTGCCAAAATAAGGGTGTAGTAGTAATGATTTTTATCAGTTGATCCATCCCTCAAGATCTCCCTTTTCACTTAGTTTCCATTGATCTTGTGAGTATTGAGCACCATCTCCTTGTAAGTTTTGTTTGTTTTTAGTAGTGAATTTCTTTATAGCCCTTAAAACATTTTTTGAACACTGTTATCTAACGCAATCATTGGGTCCTAATATGAGGTAATAGTTCCTTCTATCCCAGATAACCTTTTTTGTGCAGTGCAGGATTGAATTATTTAGGTCGAATTGCCAGGGAGAAATTTATGAGGTACCTTTTGATCCTATCTTGTCTGCAAAATAAGATTTGCTTCATAACCGTGGCAAAGCTAGATAGGTATGAGAGGTATGTCATGTTGAAGTTCCACCTGTAGTATGCCTTTAATAGGTATTTTTGGTATGGATTTAACTTTGTTAAGCATCTTTTAGTTTGATTCAGTTTTGTCTGCGGAATTGATACTCGGATATTTTATAGTTTTAGTGAGTTTGAAATTGCCAACTTAAAACAGAAATGGAATCTCCTATATGTAGCTGACAAGTTGGAATGCTGCTGTGTGACCAGGATACAGATGCTATAGCACATTATTGGTTGAAAATCAATATGTTTTTAAAAAATTTAGTGCCAGGAGAGATGGTCGCGCAAAGCTAAGGAATCAAGACACTACTTTCCGATATAGCCTCCCTATACATATGTTCAACGGGGAACTTGGAAGATGAGTAGCATGAGTAGTTCTATTACTTTCTGAAATGTGTTAATCTTAATTTTGGAACCACTGAAGAATAGTCAATGATGTTGAACCTTCTATTATTTTTTGTTTCGTAGTTCCAGTAGCTGATTCTGGAATCCTTTTTGTCAATTTGATAAATTTCTGATAAAGTTGTCGTTATATAAATGCATTCACTCTTTAACAAATAAGAATATGAACAATAAAGTAGCAGACCTTAAAGGTGTTCGGGTTTTTTGTTGCAATTATATAGCTAACCTAGTGCCTAGGCTTCTTGTCTTTGCATGGGTTGGGGAGGGAAGTCCTTATCTGTGGGCTTTCCCTTTCATTTTGCAAAAAAGGGCTGCCGTAGGGACTCAATATGCTGACCTCCCGGACACAAAAAATTAACCTTACTGACTCCCCAGTTAACCTTTTGGTGAATGGAGGAGTAACCCTTGTTTTTCATCCTTTCCGGGTACATTCCCTATTTTTTTAGCACCTAGTCATTCCAAACCCAATTTTGGGGAAGCCCTTAATATTTTTATTCACGATAATCAGTGGACTACTTTCTCTTACAATCAATAATGTCATTTATGAAAACTATACTATTGCATTTTGTTATCTTTGTCATTTTTAGATTTGATTACGTAAAATAATTTATTAGGTTGGATGTTGTAGCATTGTCTGGAAAGTATAATTTGAAACTACACGAATGTGAGGATTTAGAAGAGATCTATATGGAACCTCAATCGAAGCATTTGCAAAATGTAAGCTGAGAACAAATAAATTATCTTGGTGTCTACTGAGATATGAGTGTCAAAGGGGTTTATACAAAGTGTAAATGCTCTTCTGAGGGACTTCTTAAATGCTCTTTGCAACAATAGTTTTCAAGAATATTGAGTACTTCTTACTTCAATGCGAGTTTTGACACTCTTTTGGGACTGCTTGGTAGAAATGCTCTTGTGTATATTTGCTATCATGGCTCATCCCAGCTTCAAGACATTTTCCTCATCTGTACAGGTTGGAATAACAGTCTTTCAAGACGCAGTGAAATAAACTCTTCTGTCAAAAGGCATGAGGCATAGACAATTCTCTAACTCATTTACGAGATCTGGAATTGACCAACATGACAGCAACCATACGCCGGTGGAGCAGTCGTACTTTTCTCCGGGTAACTTCTTGATATATTTGAATCTGCTATTTAATAAGGAATATTGAAGTAAATGTCTTTTTTATAATATACAAGAGTGTTGTTACATTGTCTGATATTAACTGAATTATCTGAAAGCACCAGCATTTTTTATAATATCTCCCAGTATGGAGCTACTTAAGTGTAATACGTATTGTAAATCCCTTACTTGGCAAGCTTATCCTTCTTTGAAACATATTTTTATGAATTTACTTTTAGCATTCACAAATTCGTGGTCTGAATTTGAAATAATCCTTATTGAGTTGCATCCTCTAAAAAAGCTATCTGGGAGATTTAACCTTGTGGTTGGTAGGTTTTTTTGTTCAATTCTATTCACTGGTAAATCTTTTTCTGAATTGTCGATGTGGATCTTTAGCAGGTAGGGCTGTTGCCCCTGAGAATGGTCCTTTTGTTGGTCAGATGAATCATATGTCAAGAGGTGGAGTACACTCTGGTTCACATCGGAATTTGGAAAGCAGAGGAAATGAATACCCTTCATCAAATGTTAGCATGGAAGTACAGCCCTTTGTGCCAAATTTTTCAGGCTCTTCGGTTGATCCATACTTGCATTCATCAATATCAGAAAATAGATCTTTGGCCCCAGTGCCTCCTGTTGGGCAGGTTCATTGTACTAACTATAATGTTCCAAGTATACATGATGTGGAAGCCGGTCTGTCGAACTGCACAACAGGCAATGTCGGGCCGCCTAAAAGAAAAAGGTCAGATATGACCGGATCATGTGAAAGGGGTAGTTCGAGCAGCTTCTATAGTGCAGGAAGTTCATCCAGTTCTTCTCAGATGCCAAGGGAAAAACCAGCTGTGGATTGTCAAAGTGTACCTCCATATAGGGGCAGTCTCACAATTGCTGGTGAAGAAGATTCACCTAGGAATGTGAGGCGTAGATATAGACTTGATCTGGAACCTAGCATGACAAGAACTAATGTACCAAGCCATTCTTCTCATTTCTACCAATCAATGGCACATCCAGCAAACTACTCTGCCCCTGTTCAACATGCCAATCTAGATGCTAATGGTGGACAGTGGAATTCTGCTCCTCGTTATGCTGCTTCCTCTCACAGAAGGATCTCGCCTTCAGGTGAAACTTATTGTCCTTATCCCTTACTTTTAACTATCGGTAATAATATCTGTCCACATTATTGTAAGTTGATTAGTAAGTTGGAGTGTCTAGAAAGGCTTACTAGATGCTCTAGGAAATTTACAAATAGACAAAGTTATTGTGGATTTTCCATGATTGGAAAGAAAAAGTAAAGAAGGTATTAAGGAATTCTTCCATGAAAATGCAGATACAAGTGGCTTGCGGCATGAGATGAATCAGTTCCATATTGGAGGGAGTTCTTCTGATGTTGGTGCCTGCCACCGTGATCCTGTTTTCAGCAGACATCCTGTTTCAACTTCACAAAATCTTCATAGTCCCCATGCTCCATCACACGTCAACCATTCTCAAAGAGTTCAGTCTACATATGGGAATGGTTCAAGGTACTCCCACTATCCACATGGTGGTACTTCATCAACAAATGGAGTGCGTACGCTCCCAGAGAATTTCTCTTCTAGAAATTCAAGACATTGCTCTCCTGGAGGATGGCGCAGTAGTTACAGGAGTGGAAGGCCGAGGATAGCTGTTGAGAGATTCCAGTCTGTTCTTGATATAACGGAATCCCATAATAGAATGGGACAGGAGGTATGTAACTTATGTTCTTTAGATCCCTTTCTGCTTAAAGTAAAAGCTCTTGAAAAGCTTTGTAATATCAAACCAAATATTGAACACCAACAAACTGTGTTCAATAACCTGGCTTTTGTCTTTCGTTTGGTTCAGTCATTTAATTGGTGCAGACACATCTTACTTATAACAGTAATCCTAAGTTTCTAATCACTTTTGACTTGAATTTTGTTCCACACAGACCATGATGATGGAATCCTTCAATGGTAACTCCAGGAATACCTCGGATCAATATAGAGATTTGAGGCTAGACATTGACAGCATGAGTTATGAGGTTTGTATTATTGGCTGCTTGCCCCATCACTTTTCCATTTCATTTCATTTTGTCTTGTTAATTTAATTTATCTGCTTTGTGGCAGGAATTGCTTAATCTTGAAGAAAGGATAGGGAATGTTAGCACTGGTTTATCCGAGGATAGCATGTCCAAGTGTTTAAAGGAAAAAGTTTATTATTGTTGTTCGGACCAAGACCAAAACCACGAGGAAGATTCTTGTCCCATCTGCCTTGTAAGATATCTACCTTTTTCTCTCTTTGACATAATTTTTGTTTAGAAGTTTGGTTTGATTGATGAAAAGTTGCTTGGTGTGGTGATGAACAGGAAGAGTACAAGAATGGTGATAAGGTTGGAAGGATGGAAAAATGTGGGCATGATTATCATGTGGGGTGTATCAAGAAGTGGCTGTTGATGAAGAAATTATGTCCCATCTGCAAAACAGAATACTCAAATCAAGAAGCAAACCCATAACCCACTTAGTTTGCTTTTTGTTGTTATTTTGTAAATAAGTAGGAAGAAATCCTGCTGCTGTTGTTTTTATGATAAGAAAACAATGAATGAATAATAGTTGTTAGGAATCCAATTATTGTTATGAATGATTGATTTATGTGTGGGACAAAAAATATTTCCTCCTCATTGTTGTTTGTTTATTAGTGTATACGTCTTTGTGTTAGCATTGGACTAATAACATTGTAGTGTCAGGTTCATCCAAGAATATTAACGAAATCTAAGTAAAAGGTCTAATCACATGTGATTTTACTCTAAAATCATATGTGATTCACGGCTTCACGCGACTTTGACACACTTACATTGACTTTTGATGTAAAATTACATGTGATTTGACACACATGATTTAGCCGTTTTCGTGTTCTCTTGTTTGGTTATTGTTATCGCTTGAGCCTCCCTCTAATATTGTATGCTTATGAAGAAGATATATGATGTGACCCTTTCGGGAAAATAGATCTTTAAATCTTATGGCAAGTCTTTTGAACAAATTAGGCTAGCAATGAGTAAGGGTAAACTTGTTTGTATGTTATATTTCGATCAATTTGATAAAGATATGGCTAAAGAAATTTTTATTTACTTATCAATTGTCGACCTAGCAAATTATATATAGAGGTAGGGTATTGAGAGTGTAAAATGTATCGCATACTTGAATAAATGATTATATCAATTATATTATTTATAATATTAATATTAAAAAAAAAATGATTTAACATATGTCTCAATCGAATTGTTGTTTTCTAATTCTTTATTAATGCTGATTAAAATTAAACAAAATATAAATAATAAGCTAAAAGTAAAAATGAAGCGAAAAGAGAGGCGATGATGTGCGCCACTGAAACATGGTTGGTATCAAGAGGAATCTGGAATTATGATTTTCTTTTCCAATTTCACAAAACAAATAAATTGTGTTTTTCTATTAAAAAATATTTATCAAGCATTTACATATATAATTATAATAATATGGATAACATTTTAAGAATATCAGACGCAATTAATTTTTCGTTTTTTAGATTTTCCTTAATTATATCTTATAAATTTCACTATAATTCTACCATAAAACAAATTTTAAGGTCCTAAACTATCTTACTACGTTTGTGTACTGGTATCGAAAATATTCCTAGTTTCATTGCTCATGATGACGACCTATCAATAGAAATTCCATTTAGGTCGAGTTTTATACATTACGGATTGGCCATGCGGGTAATAGCTATCGGCCTTTTTTGCATTTTGGAAAGCACAACAACCGACAAAATAAATTCCAATGAGAAGCATGACCATGACGATGTTGAGAATCGAGAGTTTATGCCAATCCCGTCTCACGTCCTCTAGCACCCCGGCTTTACATGAGTCGCACTCATAGCACAACATATTAGGGTCGTTGTTCCATTTGTAGCAGTCTGCATCTTGTGTCATCATCGGCGCTTCATAGTTACACGCACTTGGTGGTTTGCAACAACCTGACTACATATATTAACACAAAACAAGATTAGTACCTATTCTATTGTATGTCTTTTTTATTATAGTTTCAAAAACGTCATTAAGATGTTTTTGTAAGTTAATTTTTGACAAATATTTATTGAATTGGTTTAGTGTCATCTACATCGGCCCCCACGATGCAGCAAAGTTGGTTTTGGGTGTATATTTGCATAAGCAAGTGCTGGTTCGAGTCTGACAATCATACTGTAGGAGTTGCTAGCTACCTAAAGGACGATTGTGTATCTGGTTTGCCTCTCACATGACACTTTGAGATAGAGCAGTGTGGACCCGCTCAGAGGTTGCTTAAGATTGATAATGTGCTTGTATTTTATATTTTTTTGTAATGGTTATTGATTCGTTTGAGAAGAAAATGAGTACCTGAACCGGAGACATGTCTCGAGTCCAATAATCAACAGGAGTCCACGTAACGATCTTAGCACAAGCCTTGGACCCCAAAATGCAACTCCTTACGGTCATCCAATAATTAGGATTCTCAATCCTTTTTCTCAACCACGGTGAATAATTTTGCAAGTGGTACTCCCTATAAGTCCTTCCAGGAACCTCGACGCCGCCGCCAGGACCCGCCACCACGAACCCAAAAACCGTCACAGCCAACAAAGCGGCAATCAAGAACAACATCACCACCAAATACACCCACAACGCCCATACGACATGAAAACACGCCCCTATAAAACCCGCTAACGATATAAGCAGTATCACAAATCCCAACACCATAAGCGGGCGTTGGAGGAAGCTTTCGCAGGTGGCGGTGCTTTTGGCCATCCATAAGCCACCGCCGATGATCGGAATCGAAGCCAAGAGTGTCAATAGGTTCAAGAATCCTATCAACGTGTTACTGACACTTGACATATTTGTTATCTTGATGATGATCTCATTGTTTCTTTAGCTTTCAATGGTCTTAATGGTTCCTATAAAGCTATGTGAATTCACATTCATGTACATCTGGCCTCCTTTGCTTTTCTTTGCACTAAGGGTATGGAGGAACTTTACCATACAAAGTAAGAAAATGACTAAATTGCACTTCTTAGCCATTAAGTAACTCCAGTTCCGACTGTGAAATGACATTTTTGCCCATAGCTTGTTCATACTTTTTATTACAAGTTAGTTTTGCTTATTGACCACTCTATTATTCAAAGAAATTGTTTATTTAACCATACAAAGTAAGAAAAATGACTAGATTGCACTTCCAAGTTCCAATCCTAAGAGTGAAATCACATTTATACCCATGGCTTGTTGAAAATGAAAATACACAATACTTTTGTATTACTAAAGACTTGGATTTGAAGCTTAAGAAAAGAATAGTGACAGGGGCAAATTGGTAAATGTGTAAAAAAGATGTTTCTTTTGGATATGGCCCATTTGGAGGCCATTATGGCATTGCTTTCATTATATTTAGGCCTCCACTCCAAAAGGAGCTAATAATTTTGAACCTTTGTTTGATACCTACAAAACCAATATCTAATAATACAAAATTAAAATTCTAAAATATTCCATTCCTTTGATTAAACAAAAAAACAAAATCTTATTTTATTTTATTTTTGGATTGGTGATGTGAGAGATTTGGAATAAATAGACAGCATCTTTTATCAAAAATTAATTCACAAATGAATAAACCATCAAAATGTTTTGGAAACTTATGTTTTTAAATATGATATATTAGTTTAACAATAAAAATTACCATTTTAACCTTATGTTTAAATATCATATATCATTAAACACATCCAAAAGAATGTAATTATATATGATATTAAAATCTCACGCCTTTTCATAAAATGTTTAAATAGATCACATGAACCATCCTTTGTACATATATATTAATAAAAACATGTCCATCGTACCTTTGCTACTACAAGTCATTTAAGTAAATGATCTTAAATGAGTTTTTAATTCAATTCATGACTTCTTTGCCATATCTGTATCTATACTATATTATAAAGCATTTAACAAAAAACTTTTAAAACCATTTTTTATGCATCAAAAACTGTTTATTGATGCATATTACTCAAAATTCAATATTACAAATAAATTACCCGTAAGTACAACTTATTGAAACTCAATTATAAATTCGTGTAACTAACTGCAGATAAACATAATTAAATACATGATAAACATCTAATTTTAAATATAAAAAAATCTAAAATATAATTAGGATAATTATTGAATTCTACCATAACACTTAATTATTATTTTTATTATCATTAAATCTAAATTAAATTAGAATAAAAACTGAATTAAAAAATTACATAAAAGCATGAATTTGGAATTGTTAATTTGATACTAATATCAATACATTTTTTCAATTTTTTATGAGATATTCGAATTTATATTTTATTTAAATATAAAAATATTATCATTTTATCAAAATTATATAAAATCGTATTATAATATTAACATAAGTAAAAAATAAAATAAAACATTGAATTCAAGATGTACATTATGCAAATACACTTTTAATAAAAAAAATTATATTCGCTATAAGGTCATGTACCACCGACTACGATCCCTTCATCTTCCAGGTCTTTATCAAGCGATCTCCGTCTGTGAGAACTCCCTAAGGTGCTTTTTTCGGCAATCTCGGTCTCCCAGAACTCCCTTTGTGCTTTTTTTTCCGGCGATCTCCGTCTTGAATCTTTGGAGTTGCCCAAGTTCCGGCGGTATGGGAGGAACACGATGGATCAAAGGCCAGCCAAATTCAGAAGGTAACCCTAGATGATTTCAAGATTCCAATCAATTCTAAGAACAATCTCTTGTTCTCCTTATTAACAAAGAGTACCGAATTACCCTTCTCTGCCATTCTGGATGCTCTATCAAAATCTATGTCAGAAATTGAGGATATCAAAATCTATTCTGGCGGCTACACCACAACCCCAAAACCCCCCATCGTCTTCCTCCACCATTACAGTGAGGATATAAAATCGAAATCCAAATCAAACTCGTATACTGGTGGAGAACGAAATCGAAATACTTTGATTGGTTTAGGTCCAGATCCGTTCCAGGGGAAGGGGTTTCTGTTGGATGTTTCCGTTTTCTCCGATCCATTACAATCCGTTTGGTTGCAGTTGTGAGGTTCGGTGGGAAAGGGTTATGTGGATTGTAGGCAGGGCTGGCCTGAGATTTTGAATGTCCATGGCCGAAAGCCAAGAAAATGCCTCTTATATGTGTATCTAAAAACCAAAATAAAATATTTGAAGGGGTTTGGAACCTAGTCAATCTAGGCGGCTCATCCCCATGCCGATTTCTTTTTCTATTTTGAGCACCCGATGGTTGTGATCGAGGAAACATATCTCAAGTAGTTAAATTGTTAAACAAATGATACACCTAGATTTGGCCGTTCAGGGTTCGTGTTGTAAAATTTCCAGGAAAGTGGAATGATTAAGCAACCTGGACAAATTGATAAAGGAGAAAACATAAGCATCAATCTTAACTCTTTGTCCTCTATTAACCTGCTTCAAAACAGCTCCTAAAAAGCTTCTAAAGAGCCCTCAAAACAAGCCCAGAACAGCTGGAAAAGGACCAACTATATAATTGAACATCCTTCCTTCTAAAGAGCCTTCTAATATCTAAACAACCTTCTAAACAGCCCTAAAAAGTAAAAAAAAATTAGAGCTTTTTAGGGCAACTGAAGCTGTTATAACGTTGTATTATGTCACTCCTGGAGTTAAAATATTATGTCACTCCTGGAGTTAAAATAGTGGGTCTTCTTAACTGAATGGCTTTCTCTAAAGCTTATTCGCTACAATATTTGTGGCAATGGAGTCCCAGATCTAATGAATTTACTCTAGGGGCCATCATGGTGAACATGAGCCCCTCCTTTAGAATATTTCGTTGTTCATGCTAAATAACTCATGCTTGTGATCAAATGATGGTGAAGCACTTAAGCTTCATTGTAAATACCATAACCAATTCCCTATGAAAAGGTAATTGTGGCTAGAATCACTCATCCTCATGTATCAAACTGGTTAAGTGTTTCACCATCATTTGATCACAAACATGAGTTATTTAATTATTATGTATTTCTGTTAGAACTTATAAGGCTGTTTAGAAATTGCAAAACAACCCCAAAAACAGCGAAAAAAATCAAAACAAAAGTAAAGTGGATGTAGAAATATTCAAACATAAAGTGATCAAAATCAAGAATCTCTCTTCATTGTAATGTTGTTTACAATATTACATCTTTAAAAGAAAACATAAGTAGGCACTAGGCAGCTTCATCTAGATTATGAATTAATCAAACAAGAATTAGAAACATAAAATAAGTAAATAACTCTAACCTCACAAGTCACAAGTTAGTGTCCAGGGCAGTTTCCAAACTTCAAAATTCCAATTCCAGTTCGCAATTCCAATGTCAGCCACAAGTCACAACCAGGAAATTTGCCAAGAAAGTCATTCGATTAAGCAACCTGGACAAATTGATAAAGGAGAAAACATAAGCATCAATCTTAAACCTTTGTCCTATACTAACCCACTTCAAAACAGCTCCTATTCACATTTTGAAGTCTTTAGAGGATGTAAATAGTGAACAGGAAATCAGACTCTTTTCATGGATTTTAAGATTGAGGTTGCAAAACGAAATAGCCCCAAAAATCTATTCACATTTTGTAATGTTGTTTAAATTACAGAAAACCTAAGTAGGCAATTAGGCATACATATACAGCATTACATTTACATGATTACATCTTTAAAGCTTAAAAGAAAACCTAAGTATGGAGGGCAACATCATCTAGATTATGAATGAATCAAACAAGAAATCAAGAATTAGAAACATAAAAAATAAAATAAGTAAAGTAAATATTAATAACCCTATCAGTTGATGGCTAACCTCACAAGTCAATAGTCGAGAGAGACTCAAGACTCGAGAGAGCGAGAGGCGAGAGCGAGAGCAAGAGAGAATCGGTACAAAGGAATAATATGTTCGTCAATTCGACAGTTCGTGAGCAAGAGCGAATCGGTACAAAGGAATAATCGTTACTTCTGTGACTGTAAATTTGTAATCTGTAGTTCTGTACTTTTGTTAGTGTTTGTCAATCGACAGTGACAGTTCCTGAGCGAGGAGGCGAGAGTCGAGCTCTCGAGGACGAAAGAGAGAGCGAGCGAGGCCGATTGAGTATTGTGGTAATGGTAATTTTTTTAGGCCCAAAACTGAACCTATATATGCATATTGGGCTTCATAAACTTGTTGCCCTTAGAATTTTTGCTGTCCTGGGCCATCGCCCCTTGGGTCTATGGCCAGGGCCGGCCCTGATTGTAGGTGTCGTGGAGATCAATAAAGGCTTGTCGGTTGAAGGTTTCTTGGCTGGGTGTACACAGAAGGGAAGGTTAAGGAATAGAATTATAGAGGGTGTAATCATTTATATTTTGTTTTTTAAAGCAAAATAAGTAATTGATCAAAATACCCCAACTTTAACGGATACAATCCATAACAAAATCGAAACCAAAATGACCATGCTTGCAATTATTTCGTATGGAGGACCATTTGCATATAATCACACGGACGAAATCAATGATTTACTCAATATTTTATAACTTTATTATCTCAATACAAAATAATAATAATTTAATCTTTTATGTTCTTATTATCTCCATGAATTAAACTTTATATGTTGCCCAATGTGACTTAAAAGGGTTGGTTTCGATGAGAAATGTAAAAATTAACATACTCTCTCTGCATCTGATCTCACCAAATATTAAAAGCTAATTCTTGATTTTCAACATAATTTGCTTCAATCAGAAAGAATGTTCATCGATTATGATGTTTAGCCCGATGGGGTGGTATCGTTGGATCTTTTTAATCATTAGCAACAGTCTCCTAATAAACTCAGAATAGCCACATATAAATAAAGTCTTTTTACGTAAAACATAACTAACTTTTCCTCTACCCAAATGGTAGAGAGGTTGTCTTCGTGAATACCTGACTTGCAACAAAAAACCCCAAATCTTTGACATCTCAATCGTGGGTTTTCAGTGAAACAAAGAGCAGAGAAATGTTTATACACGTCTTGCCCCCCAGATCCTACACGATCAAATAAGATATTGATATGTTTTGTTAAATTTAATGAGACCATGTATGCATCAAGAACCAACATTAAACCATATGGTACCAGCAAACTTCCCACAAAATGCAACACTTTGTGTAGCCAAGAATGCATCATCAACATTCAGATGACCTAATGTGAAATCTGTGTATATATATAAATAAATTACATGTAGAAAAACTAAAATCACATATCATGAATCAGCAACTCCACATCTAAACCGCATGAGAAGAATGATTAATTAGGGAACTTGAAAGAAATGATAATAAATTGGAATCAAGAATGAAAGGGGCATCTCCTTATTTCTTTCCATTTCTGCAACCCCAAATGAAAAATCAATGGTTTTTCTATAAGTTTTTGCTTATTATGCAACAAGTAAATTGAACCTAGATGGAGTGTTTTAGCTTCTTTGCATTGCTTTGTTCTCCAGAAATGACCTGAAAAGTATAAAAGCTTGCCGAGGGCGATGCAATGGCACTTCATGTCCTGCACCCGTTACTGACACGAATGTCAGCCCTTCGTATATTTGGCTCCAACCCGCAACCTAATCCAACACGACCATGAAGATGTTCAGAAGATTGTTGAAATACGTATATATATGATATGCAAATTTGGAATGTAAGAGGAAATTTTAATTCATTACCTTTCCATTATCATACCACGGATACCAATTGGCGATTGTCGTAAGATTTAACGCGTCGATGGAGTATCTTGTTGCGGTTATGGGAACGACTGAATCCGTATCACCACTGTAGGAGAAAGGCACAATCTTTTCATCAGGGTGATATCTATAATTCTAAGGACTATTTAGCTGAATGGCCTTTTCAAAAAGAGAATTTAAGAATCTAACCTTCTAGTATATTTTTAAGTTCTTTAGCGAGCAGGTTGTTTTGAATATGGGCAGACTGTTTAGAACTAAGAGCGGTTCGGATGAAGGTCATTGAGTTAAAAGAAAAATAGAAGGTCATGCTCCTAATTGAAAACTCATGTTAGGTAATTTATCCAAAGGACCCTCTTTCTAAAATGGGTTGTTTTGTAAATAACCTTCTACAGTAAGTCATTTTCACAAACTAACCTTCTAGTGTTTTTTTCAAGATTTTACAGGCCAGATCGTTACACCAGAGGGCGGGGTGTTTATCATCAGAGATACGTTATTTGAAGGTTATTCATGCTCCTATTTGAAAATTCAGACGTTATTGGCCATTCCTACTCTTATCTTCCCAACACGGAGTATAATGAACAAAACTTAACCACTCTTGAAGGTCTAACAGACAATGGAAAACAATCAAATTAAGTACAAGAAGTTGTACCTGAACACCCATACACGTAAACCAGCAGCCATGAGTTCCTTGTAGATGGGAAGCATCGACAGTGGAGAGTCTTCCCAATACTCGCCAACAATATCACTGCAATTAAAGAAACTTCATCATATAAAAGCTCTAAGGCCGATGTAGAAGAGCCGACCTCTTTAAATTTCACACACACCTGCATGTTTTCCAGGGATATGAAAGCTTAGCAATGTTGGCATGGAAAGCCTTTTGAACTTCAGGGAGATTGAAGTACTGATTTGCATATCTCTCAGTGCATGGATCATATGCTCCACGCATCCATGGCTGTTCATACAAGGAAAGCTCAGTCATTTTCAGGAAGACACGATCAACAAGTAGGTTAACAGATTTAGTACTAGGGTCATTTGGTTGATTGACCTTAAATGAGTTTTCAATTAGGTTCATGACCTTGTAAAAGAATTTAGTTCAATGACCTCCATCTGACCTGCTCCTCATGTTAAAAAGCCTGCTCCTGGTGTAAAACAACTTGCTCCCGAAAGTACTTGAAAATACACGAGAGGGTCATTTTGCAAAACCAGCTTTTGGTGAAGGTCATTGAGCCAAATAGCCCTTTAGTGTGATTTAAATCAATTCATCATCTAAAGCGACTAATATGAAAGGTGAAATTCAAGGGGCCAATAAGTTTCACATTCAATTAGCTTGGTCCTCTGTGATATCTCTATAGAGAGATTTGATATAAATAAACTTACATAACGTCCTCTACGCATTAGTGATGAAGTGTTATTGCAGGGCTTTGTATATATGCTATACGGATCTATATTTCCCTGTTCTATTTCGGCCGCATTTAGAGCTCTGATGCACTCAATGGGTGGATGCTCAGAGGACCTTCCCTCACATGTTGTCTGAAGAGACTTATAAGTAGAATCTGAAATCAAACCATGGGTCCACCAGTACTCGAATGTGCCAACAAAATCGTTGTAATCATCTGTAACAGCATTTCCGACCTAAGAAGAATAAAAGTTGGAAATCACGGAAGATGGTATTATAACTAGTGATCTTGACAAGTATATTCGTTTTATACCATGAAACCCTTGAAGTTAATAACTGGATTCTTCACTCCTTTGTTTCTTTTGTAAATGATTTGAGACAATTGAGGAACGTAATGACCTGAATTAGAGAAACAAAGACGCCTTAGAATGTTTAGCAAAGAGAAATATTGTAAAGTTTGCAGCCTCTATAGTAACTAGATTAGTTGGTGTATGGGAACCTGCATAACTTTCTCCAGCAATGTAAAAATCTCGGTGCTTGTATTGAGGGAACCTCTCAAACCAATTGACAAGGAATACATATGAATCTTCAGCTACAAATTCACAACACCCATGTTCCAAAAACATCCGAAGAAGTCAAAATTAACCAACTTTAAGTTCAAGAACACAATTTTATGCAGCCTAATCATGTAATATACAACCAGTGGATATGTTGAGAAGGGGGGAAGTTCTTGTAGAGATTGTGAGGCTCTTACCTGTTCTAGCATCACCGGAGTTATACAAATCTGATGTAGTGTTTGAATATGAGTAGCCAACTCCTGCTGGTGATTCTAGGAAGAGCAGATTTGCCACTGCCAAACCAAATTAAAGAATCGAGATCAGTTACACATTTAATGACAAACTACTGCAGCGATTGGTGAAATTAACATAGAAAAAAGTGGGTGATACGTGATAGATTACATACACTTGTTCCAAGAATAAGGGTTTGAGAAAAGGGTCTTCCCATCAGAATTTATATGTAAAGGACCAATCTCTTCAGCAGCTCCATAAGCTACAGAAGAACAACCAGGCCCACCATTAAGCCATAACACGAGTGGCCTTGATTTAGGATCACGATTTGCAGGTGACTCGGTCAACCAGTAAAACAATGACCTCCCAGATTGTTGGTTCACAGTAACATAACCCGAGTACTGGGAGAAATCAACATTTGGTGGCTGCCCAGGCAGCTGCCCAATCTTATCTCTCTCTTGATCCGACAAAGAATAGCAAGTTCCAAGAAAAAGAAAAGAGAAACAAAGCACAAAGAAAAACAATGAATTGCCCATGAATCTAATGAGATCTTGGAATAACACTAATCCCAGAAGTATTACTGGGGTATCTAAAGAATAATATGAATAGACGCATATGCTTTTCTATGATAATTAACCAATGGGATGATAAAACCTAGAGCAAATAGGCAGCCCAAGTGCTAGAAGGGCTACAAGATATTCTTTTGAGGTAAGTTCATCTAAACAATCGAAACAAGCATATGAGCGAAGAAAACCGAGTGAACTGAAAATGACCCACAATGCCCACAAATGAATTATGATAACAATATATCAAAGAAGACCACTTAGTTCAATCAAAAGAAAAGTCTGGCTGTTTTCCGGTGAATTCGATAAATGGTTGTAATTTCCAGATAGAGACATATACAGCAGTGACTACATACAAAGAATGGTGTGGGGGAGATGACAGCGAAAGGGGTTAGAGAGAGAAAGACAAAAAGGGTTATAACATAATCACAAATGTTGATGAATTTATTCACAAACAGTGCATGCTCCATGATTCCAACCTTGTTTCTTGGTTAGAATTACGTGAGTTGGACTCATTTCTATATAATTAGTATATAGAGAATAGTAATAGTATATTGGGTACAGTCTCTTTGGGATATTTGACCGAACACTTAATATGCGCACATGGCCGAAGAAGCTGACTATGCCGAAAGAACTTAAAGGAAAAGATATAAAATGCAAGAAAAAGGTTGTCCACTTTATTATGGATCTGATTTGCAGGAAGAAAGAAAATATTGTTAATAAAATCTCTTGCTACAATTTTAATCAAAGCAAGAAGGATGATGACATAAGCCATTACCTTATCTTTCTAAACAACATCATCTCCCATTTATCTTTTTGTGGTCGAGATTTCTAAATGCAACCCCACTTGGTAAAAGAAAATTTAATGAGTCAACAAGTCAAAATTCGAAACAAGATTAATCGTATAAATACAATTTCATTTGTTATCAGTGGAGGAGAAAAACGAATGTTCCTTTTTAAAAAGTTAAATATCTTCTTAATCAGATGTATTTTAAGATACTAGAAGAGTACTCGCACAATGTAGCGAGATACATCTCGATTTTAATGTTTCATTTTATTCTTAGTCTTTTTGGATGTCATAATATGGTTTTGAGAAATCAATAATGTTTTTATTTTTGAATAAAATATAAATTTAAAGATAACATAAGAACTTGAAAAAAATATATATAAAAATTCTAGTTTTCTTAGATACTTTTTCTAATTTAAAATTTTATTATAATTTAATTTAGTTTTAATAACAAATTAATTATTTTTTATTTAATAATATAATTTTTTATAAGAATAATAATTAAGTATTATGTTAGATAATCATTGTATTTTAGATTTTTTATATTTAAAATAAAAAGTTTATCTTATATTTGATTATGTTTATATGCAGTTAATTACAAAATTCAGAGATGGAGTTTTAATAAATTGTACTTATGTTTATTTTACTTGTAATTTTGAATTTTAAGTAATATGTATCAATAAACAGTAGTAATATAATATAGATAAATATATTTATATTTATTTTCGTCAAATAAATAAATATATTGTTTTTATAAATACCTCAAATTTAAATAAAAAAATGGTAGAGTTTCTGCACCGGAATGGCGGTGACAGCCGCTTGTTGTTCCATTCTCGCTGGCCATTCCCGTTTCAACTTTTAACTTTTTAAAATAATATGCCCTCCAACTTTAATATTTGACGCTTTAACCCCTTCAACTATCACTGACTTAATATTTCTATATTTTCAGTCTGTCTTCTTCCTTTTTTATTTTAGACTACAATTTTGGTCCTATTGGTTTACATCAACTAGAATAAATTCCTTAAACTTTATTAATTGAGGAATATTTTTGTTTTGTTTTGTTTTTTTCTTTTCAAAAATAATCAAAAAATATTATATCATATAACAATAAAACATATATAACAATAAAACCGAGTTTTTTTTTTTTTTTTTGTAAAGATGGTGTGCAAAGCTTTTCTTCCACTAGAGACCCGATTTCGAATCCTACTAGTATCATTTTCTTAGTTTTTAAATTTTTAATTCATTACGTTTCTGGAAAAAACTGCAATAAAAGTTTCGAACACAAGACCTCACATATGAAAATCAATGAATTAACCAACAAACCAATGATGATTTTAAGAAAAATATCCTTATATTTGTTTCTTATAGTTAATTGGTGCCACCGTTTGAAAAAAGTTATGGTCCGTCCCTAGTGTGGATGTGTGTCGAGGGTGTGTATGTGTGTGTGTGTGTGTTTTTAAAGAGTATGGTGGATGTTTGTGTGTGCATATGCGTTTCTAAAATAGTGTTGTGTGTGTGCGTGCACGCAAGTGTGTGTGATATATGCAACAACAATGGTGGGAAGGGTGTAGATAGAGGCGTGTATTTCTCCAGGTGCGTATGTGTGATATATGCAACAACAATAGTGGGAAGGGAGTAGAGTGGAAGAGATGGCCAAATAGGCCCGGCCTGGCCTAGGTCCAGCGGAGGATCGAAACTGGGACCGGTCTGGCCCGAGACCGATTGAGACTGGTTTGGGACCAGCGGTCATGGAACGGTTACAGTTTTCATCAAAAAAGAAGGCCCGGCCTGCCCGGTACCGATATAGGACTGTTTACCCAATTTTTCAAAAATATTACTGTTTTATTATCAATATCCAATAGCCATATGAAAAAATTTCCCTCATTTTGACCCTTTTTTGTCTTATTTACTCTCTACTCACTGTATATAAGTCATATGGTGTATGAGGAAATATACCAACTCACAATATTCACAATTCATGTTATCATTCGTGATTTTGACTCATATTCTCGCAAAAAAATGTATTTTTCAAGTGTTTTTAATTGACTCAATTACATATTTTCAAGTATATTAGAATTAAACTTTTATACCTTTTTAGAAAAATTCAAAAAGAAATATGTAAAGACCGAATTTGAATAAAATACATAGCACCAGTTTTCGGCCTGGACCAGAACCGGTTCTCATAACCGATTACAAAGTACTTAACCGGGCCTTTGGTTTTTTGTCGGGATTGGGACCAGTTACGGGAATAGTGTTTGAAATCAGGACCAATTTGGGCCCGAACCAGCTCACGACCGATTTTTGGCCATTTTTAAAAAGGAGTGGATGGAGATTTGTATTTTTACAATACGGATATTATATATAATATTTTAATGAGTAAAAACAAAAAAAGTGAAATAACAAAAATGCTCTTCATTTACTGGTTTAAAAGAACCATTTTCAAAATAAAATGCATCGGTATCTATTTAATAAAGTATAAGAACATTATTTGTAATCGAATATAAACCACAAGGACCAAAAACGTAATTTACTCTTTATTTTTTGTTTTACACAAAATCTTGATCACCGGTGAACAATCGGCTTCTATTCATGATTACATTTCTTTTCAACTATATTTCTTATCATTCACTTGCTACCGACAACCGTTTCCCCTTTTTGACCAATAATTATCAACCATATTTTTGTACCATCAATATTTATTGTCATATGAAATTAATTTGCCATATGTAATGATCCATGAATCCTTCATTGACTTTTGGATCTAAAAAATAAACGACGATGACTCAGATTCAGATGTAACCGTTACATAATCTTGCAATTATTTATGAAAAAAATGTAACATCTTTTAATATTCAAAGTCGTTATGTTAAAACTGATTGACGATCGATAGAATGCCGAATTTTAAATTTCGAGGGGTTTTTCTTTTTGAACCCACCAATTGTTGTCCTTGTGTAGAAAGCAATCAATGATTCAATGGTCTTCAACTTGTCCTTGTGACTTGTGAGTGTGGTCCAAAAGGTCCCTCTCGTGCCATGTTGGGCCATGCCATCTTTTTTCAAGTTTTAGTTCTCACCAAACTTTTGAAATAAAAGCTTAAAATTATATCCCAAATGTATTCACAATTTATATTCATGCTTAGTTAGGTATTAAATCAAAAAGATGAATCAAAGCATTACCACACAATCATGTTCTCATGGTGTGTTTATATATTGTCTGAGTTGGTACATGATATGTTCAAATCTGTAGTAAACGAATAAGTAATTCATCGTAGAATGATATTTAGGTCCAGTGTAACAAAGACCTTCTCTTGTCCTATCGGCATATCTATACATACTGACTTTTCCTCTACCATATCTCTGTTGAAATGTCGCAACTATGCCATATGACATCATGTATATCCTCCACATAATGGTCGTAGGACCGGCACGATAAAAGAGTTTTGGAGGGTAGTGTAAACCCCTTTTTTTCCACAACTTTTCCTCCCCGGTAGATATGTATAATTACGTTAGCAATAACAAATTTGATTGGTTTGTTGTCATTTCTTTAGAAGGACTCGTAGCCCCCATTCGAAATATATTGTTTAGGCTCCAACTTAGACCATTGGGCCGCATATGCAAAAAGAGTTATGGGCCATTGTTGATTGACCCATGTTTTGTTGATGACAAAGCCCATTTATATCTTTCTTTGTTAGAATATATACTTTAATAAAAAGTTGTACGGAAATTACTAGTAAATATAAATCTGCTTAAAACTTAGGGAAAATGGAGATTTTACGAATTTTTGCTATAACGTATTTTACAAAACCTTCTTTAAAACAGGAAAAATATGAAAGATATGATAAAATTCTCTAAATTTATAGAACTCTCGAAAAATTATTACTCATGAGAGAGAAAATATATTTATTATTTTACATTAAAAATGGTATTTTAAATAATAAAAAAACAAAATTAAATATGATATAATAATATTTTTTTAGAGATATTTCATAGATGATAAAGTTGAATTAATATGTATGGTAGGGTTAGTGGACCTTTCATTGTCTACAAAAAAATACGTAACATAATGCAATTATTACTCAAATAGACTTCCTTCAGTACCAACCAAAGGAGTTGACTTGTTGACTTTGACACTTTAGGACTTCTTTTTCGGGCTGAATTTAATAAATATAGTCGATAAAATTTGTCTTTTAGTTATTTTTATTTCATATTTTCAACAAAATCACTATATCTGCAAGTTTGCGAAGGGATAACTTCTTTAAAAAAATGAACTGAAGTGCCACTAAAGTTTCAAACTTGCAGAGGTCTCAACACATCACCTGCAGAGGTGCTCATCACAAGTCTTCATTTTTCAGGAAGTGGGTCATGTGTCATTTTATTAATGGGGCCATGTGATTCAAACTCAAGATTATCTTCTTTTTTTGAAAAAAAAAA